GGGCAGAGAGGCCCAGCACACTGCCCTTGGCCTTAGGCTCAGCCTCTGAATCCCTGCAGACTGGCTCTTCCCTATTGCTCAATTCTCAGGGCAGTTTCCCAGCCGCCGGTAAAGAAGCCGGCCCACCAGACCATCTCCTGCATGGAAGGGCAAGCAGGGTCCCCTGTAACACGCACACGCATCTTCTAAATCATTTGCTGTCCCGCCCCGCAACAGGACATAAGCTCCACGATGGCCTCGTTCAGGCTAACTCTCCCACTCTTACAATAATGCCTGGGGGGGTTCCAGGGACAGACGTGTTTAGGGACTGATGGGATGCATGGAAAAGGCCCTGGAACCTGCATTTCAAAAACATGCTATTCTGAGTATTTCCAACAAGTATTTCTAGTTAGGGACAAGACAGAGAGTGATCATTCATTAGAATCTTTCATAACAATAAATACATAAACCATGCTGGCAACTCCTTTGATGTACAGCGACAGAAAGCAGCAAGTTATTTATTCAGCAAACGTGACTGTCATTTCTGGCTACCACAAAAACCTGCCCCCAAAACACGACGGCAAGATGAATGGGAATGGGATAATAGGTATCATTAGAGAGCCATTTTTCTGATCTCCATAAAGGCTTGTAACAACTTGTTCTGTCCCCCCCAAAAAGCAGCACAAAATCGACTCAACAAGGCTAATACACAACCAACTGTGGAAAACGGATAAGCACAGTTCACTGGTTACTTTTGTTTTTATGACTGTTCTGGCTTTTTTTTTTTTTAAGGTTTATTTATTTTTACATACAGGACTGGGGTACATGCCAGAGGTGAGGGGGCTGAGAGGATTCACCAGGAACAGAGTGGGGAGCAGAACAGGCAAAGATGTACTGAAATGCACTACTGAGGGGAGAGGCGGGTGGCTCAGGAGAGGTCTGCCAGGCCATGTGGGCCACCTCCCTGGCTGGGGATCGAACTGGTGCTGCAGTGGCTGCGATAACCCCATTGTGCTGTGCTTTAACCTGTTGCACCTGCAGGGAGTGTCCTGCTCTCGCTTTTAAGACAGCCCTGCGGCCCACATCATCTGGCAGGGAGGAGAGAGAGCAGTGAAAGTGACTGGGCATTTGCCAGATGACAGGTTAACCTGTAAGTATATTACATCTACATTTAAAAACAGAAAAAAACCACTGTGATGTCTTTCCATGCCTTAAAATATTAAAGACAGAAATATGAAAGGCTTCTATTTCCAATGTCACCCACAGTTTTCCTCACAGCAAGAGGCACAGAATAAAGTTCGAGCTAAAGGCTTTTGTTTGGCTTCAGTGTAGAAGCAGGTTATGTCCTTTATAATCTCCTATAATGAAGTATTATGTATTATAAATACTGGAGCACTGAGACCTGAGGGAAGCCTCACCTAACTTACCACTGCTATGGAAATTACACCCCAAATCTCATCGACATAACAGTCCCACGGTGGCTTCACTACCACCAATGACACATCAGTGCCACAAAAATAGATCTCCAACGCGAAGGGTGGCGGAAATAGCACAAAACTGCCTTTTCGATTTCTTAAAAACCTTATTCAGTGCAAGAATAAAAGTTCTTTGGTTTAAATGAAAGTATTTTGATTTTGATTGAAATGGTTGGTAGGAATGGTTATGCAAACCAGCAGAAAGAGGACAGAAGCAGAACCGACATCTATGAGGAATGGAGGGGGAATTGCCGAGTGCTTGACCCCTGGGCAAGGGTAAGCACAGCATCTTCCCTAAGGTTACAGCGAAGCGTAAATGAGCACAGCCCCTGGCCCACCACAGCACCCCGGGACCCGGCAGCTATGTGGCCACATCACCTCACCTGACTGCAAGAGGAAGACCAGCACCCTAGCAGGGAAGCGTGAGCGAGGCTCAGCAATGCCAGCTCTGTTACTGGAGGTCTCCCAACTGGGCAGAGGGAGCAGAACTACGTCCAGGTCGTCTGACCCCTGAGCCCCTGCACGGCCATGTCTCAGGCGCTGCGGAGGGGCGGAGAAGCCAACAGGCACCAAACAGCATCTTGGTGTTGACTCGACTGCCTTGAGCTGGCACTGCCCGTTATTATTTGGAGGTGGAACTTGCCTAAGTGTGGTCAGCCAGCAAGTGCAGTTCATGTATGTGCAAATCAAGACTACCCACTCTTGCCTACCAAGTCCCCTGGGGGCACTGTCACTATGTATCAGGCAGGGTGGACTTGATGACCTTGGCATGGGCTATTGTCTGCACGTCACTGAGCCCATCAGTAAGATGGGGTGCTATCTGTCTCAGAGGGCCACTGGGGATCAGCTCAACTCAGGCATTCTGCTCTCCGATTATTATTAGAACCTCTCCAGTACCATAACTAGACAAGCAGATTCTGCTGTCTGAGGTTGTCTCAACTCTATGGAGAGTTAGTTATCCTGACCTGACTTCTGACAAGCTCATATCAGGGCTGGCCCAGAAGCTAAAGAGGAAATATGGAGGATATCATAAAACAGAAGGGTCGCAGGTGGGGTTGGGGGCTGTGAGGTGGGGGTGGAAGGGTGCAAGGAGCCAAGGCGTGTGTCTTGTCACTGTAGGCTCTGGATGGGCGTTGGCAAGAGGATTTCTGTTCAGTCTGTGCCATTTGACACACAGTACGTCATCTCTCTGTCTCTTTAATACCGTTTCCTTTCTAGCAGCTTCCCACATTCTCCCTGTAACACCTCACTCTTTTTCCCAAGTTCGCCAAGTTCACTCACTGTATTCAGGCATCAATTGCCCATTAACAGTCTTCCCTCTGAGAGCATCCAGTTATTGGTGTCTCCTGCTTCATCTCTTACTCTGGGGATTATAAATTGCAGGTGAAGCTCCAACTCTAAAAGTTCCCTGAAATGACAGCTCTGCACATCCCAGACGCGCATGTCTTGGTCCTAAATGTGCTCCTTACATCACTACTGCTCTAGAACCCACCGGTTCCTGCCAGGGATCTGAGATCACCGACGCCCCGCAGAGAACATGGCTCCCTTCACCTTGGAATGGAGCCATCTGCAGGTGACTTCTGATGAGGCACGTTCTGCTGCGCCTTCTCTCTCATGGCCCCATCCTCTCCCTAATTTAAAGTGTTACCTCTTCCATACACACGGAGCTCAGTTTAGATGCCCACCCCTTCAATTCACCTACTCTCAATCTACGACTGGAACTATAAACTGTTTCACATCAGGAAGCAGATATTTAGGCATACGGATAGAATGACCAGAGCAAAGCCAGCAATTTACCTGATGAAGGCTGATTTCCTTCCTGAGCAATAGATGTGGGGGGGGGGGAGGGGAGGATTCCTCAGAGGGAGAACTTGGGGATACTAACAAAATCAGGCTGACAGGGCTTGGACTGGAAGTGGCAGGGGGCAGAAGATGGAACGCGATGTTCACCGAGGGTCTTTGAAGAACGGGGAGCCAGGTGCTTCCTGTTCAGCATTTGAAGAGCAGAGAATATAATCAAGGCCCCTATTTTGCACGGAGCTGCCAGAATGGCTGGAGACCCCAACTCAGCACTGGGCAGAGGGCACTACCATGGAGAAGACTCGCTATGCTTGAGATTAGCCTTCAGGTCAATACATAGTGCTCTCGTGAGAGCGGAGTGTGCTCACACCAGACAAGTCCCAAATGTGCCAGTGTCTGGTGTGAGGCACTCACGACTCATGGCCCTGCCAGCCCAGGTATCACAGAAGCATGACCCTCAGAGCAAAATCCACGATCTCCACAATATGACCTTAGGGTCAGTCAGAAGGAGAACCTTAATACATATATATATTTAAGCTTAAAGGGTCTATAAACTCCAGTAACAGATTATTGCCAGATTATGTACTTCTAAAGTTAAAATACAAACACAGCCAGGGCCTACTGACAGGAAGTATCCTGGGGTTTTCCCATCAGTCCCTCTCTTTGGCCGCCATGAGATAGAGCATTTGGGCTAAGGGAGTTCTAAAATGACATTATTTCATCAACAAATACTCCAAAGTAGGTTTAAGAAGGATATATGCTTTGCAAATTTCAGGCCAGTTTGATTTTGCTGACTCAAGGACAAATGAGAGTTATTCCCACCCCTCAGCTGG